CTCTCCCAGCAAGAAAAAGGAGGAAAAATTGTGGTGTTGAAAAAGAGTAACAGAAAAAAAAAATTAAAAAATCGGTGTGTTAGTTTTATCTACGCATGAAATTATACTATTGTCACTGAATACATACTACAGGGATTCAACAGAAATGGTATAAATCCTTGCAAAGGTATCCATTTCAGTATTAGAATATCTGACCTCTATTTAGCTGAAACAAAACTGAATCAAATATTTAATAACTAACCTATTAGCTATCTAAATAAATAATAAAATTGGGCTGTCCACTCAGTTTTTTCTCACCTGTTTAACTAAACTCTATTAAAATCTGCCTTAGATTTTAAAAGTGTATTTTCTTTTAGAGTGGAGATAGCCCCAATTGAACATCACCAGAATAGAAAGAAAATGCTACAATCACCTTTTTCCACACCATTTTATAATGAGCTCACCCTCCAAAAGAAGGTGATGGCTTTCTGTATGGGAACGAAGCATTCCTACCACCGTAGCCTGTTGTATATTTTCCAGATTGTGGCCTTGGCCACTTAAGCTAGAGACAAGATAACTGTTCTGCTTAGAATTATAAAGTTAGTTTGCAAATAGTTGTTATCACTTCAGAAAAAAGTAGTTACAGAAAACAGTGAAAATAATAGTACCTATATGTATACATGTAATAGTTGGGAAGACAGACATTTCCTTCACCATAAAAGATACTTTAGCACTTTCCAAGCCAGTCCACAATGAGGACAATGCTATCTTTTAAATCCTATCCCTGTTGTTATTGCACATGGCATATTACATTGTACCATACAGTGTATGGTGATGAGAAATTCCCTGCTTATTTAATTGTGATCCTTCAATGAATTTGAAAGGGAGCACTTTATTTCCATTTCTTTAATTTACTAGTTCTGTAGCTGATGATTTTATTAACTCTTGTATTTGAGAACTGATGCTTAACAAAAAGAGGGGAAGAAAAAAAGGCCCTTGGCAGTATTGTGAAGGCCTGGAACTGAATAATGCACTTTAATAATGAGGAATAGAGCTATGGCTTTTGCTGATGGCTGTGACCGGCTCTGTGACCTGATTATGTCGCAGAGTGTCAGCAGCTGAGACACTACAAAAGGGAGCGCATCCCATCAAATCTATCTCCATTGTAATCACTCGCACTGCTGAGAGGCTTGTTAGGAGCAGGGAATCCATCAGGCCTCATTAGCACCGTTTACCATCAAGAAGCTCAAAGAGCAAACGTATACCCTCTAATCAGAATAATGAGAACCAAAGTACTCCTATTATCTAATTGGATCAACAATGCCTCTTTCCCTATTTAGTTTGCTGAGCTACTTGTGGACTACAACCCTCAAAAATTAGTTATTTTTTGTTAATTGTCAGGGTGGAGCTGTGCTCAAGGTTTTTCTTATACAGAAGGTTTTCACATCTAGAGAGCAAGGCATGGGCACAATGAAGCCCAAGTTCCTTCAGGGGCATTCTTAGATTATAGTGATGCAATCCCAATTAATTCAACTAATTCTTAGATTTTCCTGTTAATCTACCAGGAAATAAACTGTATTGCACCCACAGTTAAAATGTATTTGATCCTGTTGAAGGCAAGAGACTTATATGAATGCAACTGATGACAATTAAGAAACCAGATGCATCAACCTTGCTCTCATATTTCTGTGGCTCTTTTCCTTAAAAATATTACAAAACCAGCCAAAGTACACATTTCATGTACTTAATAGATATGTAAAACCCATGCAAAACTCCTGCTCTTTTCTTTCATTTGTAAAACCATTATGAAAAAAAGAAATATTAGGTTATTAAATCTCTGAAGAATTCAAGTGCAGCAATGGCACTTGAATCCTGCTATAAGGGCAGGCTGACGCTGAGCAGGTGACAGTTTCTCTTGGAAATCAGTGTATCTACTGACAGGGTGCAGCCTGGCAAACATACTAACCTGGCCTTTAAATTTTACATATGAAAGCCCAGTCCTGCAAATGCTTTCTGGAAAGTGCTGAGGGCAAATAGAATGTAAGCAGTGTTACATGGGCCAATAGCTCTTCATAATATGCCTCTGAAATGAAAATTTGATTTAGAGTCCTCTACCTGCACTATATCAAATTAATCAGGTGATCTAATCATATTATTTCAATGGATTAGATCTCTTGGTTACTTGGGAAGCTCTGATATTACAGTTCCTATTGCCATCCAAAGCAAAAGAAGAAAAATAAATTAACATACTATAACTGTGAATTCAATAATTAAATTAATAACAAATATGTTATATAAATTATTGTTAATATATATAATTTTGTTACTGTAATTTTAAGAACTTTTTGACTGTTGGGAATCAAGGCCATGCCATATATCATTTAAAAGATCATTTCCCTAAATTTGGCATAGGATCTTGCTTTTGACCTATAGCTTAATGTCTCCAGGGATTACTGATCACCATATATTTAGCCAGACAGATGGACTTTTACAAGCCCTGAATTTCTGTAACAGAAGCAGCATGTAATTACAAAGATTGTACATAGAAACATTCTAGTAAATCATCCAGCTTCATATTTGCAGGAGTGAATTCTGGGTGTCACACTTGTGATTTTTTGAAAGGGTCAATTTTTAAAAGACAGATTCTTAACATATGATGCAAATCTGGCTCTTTAATGACTCCAAGCAGATTATTCAGTAATGGAGTGTTCCAAATTACTATTCAGTTAAGCTTCCAATTTTGAAGAAACCCCTTTCAGTTCTTGGTTAAGTCCTATAATTTTATTAATTTGAAGGAATGTAATTTAATTTATGGAACATAGTTTAATTATACTTTATAGACCTGTTTTAAGACAGATAGCCTGAGAATTGGGCTCTAAGTAATATGAGTTTATGCTGAATATTATAAAAATGGATGTTATATTACACACTTATTATCAATGTCTATCTATATTGTGGCAAGGTCTGAAGTACTGATTATAAAACAAGGAATATTGTAAAAAAAAGTAACAAAAAGACAACCTTTACTTAAAAGAACTAAACAAACAATTAGATGCTGTAATTTTATCCAAGAATATAGAAGATTCTTCTTTTCTCTTTCCCTTTCTCTGCAACCTGTGGAATTATTGGACTTTACGTTATGTTTGGAATAAACAAGACTTAGCCTGAGGGAATCGATAGTTTCATTAAGTGATATCTTCACAGTAGTATTTTTTTTAAACATACAATGAATGGCCACACATTGCCTATGTTTTCTGTGGAGAACATGTAAAGGAAAAACTATAAAAAAACTAGTCTGTGTTTTTATCTTCAACTCTTACAATGAACATCTTTGGTGTCAAGTGCCTCATGTGAGTGGTGACTGGGAACCATTTCTAGAGCACAGACAGAAACAAGCAGGCTTCTATGTTGGAGCTGATCTGACTGTGAGTTATGGGTATTATAACCAACTTTTATTCCAAACCAATACCCCATCCCTCCAGAAATCTTAATAGGCTTTTGAGAGCCTCCATTTAAAGCTGGCTGCATAAAATGATCCTTTGATGAAAAGGGATTGAAACAAGGGTTAAAGTAGACATTGAAAGGTTATTGTAGAGGGCACATTGTTCATACAATCCTCCTTTAATATGTGTGGTGTGCACCTGCGATAAGATGATTCATTAGATAAGGCCTCACTTTGACAAGCTCCATCGTTCAACCCTCGGGGTAGTGATGGAACAATTCTGCACCCACCCAGTAAATATAAAAAGGTCAGCATTTTTTTTTCCTTGGACTTGGATGGTGATAGTGAAGCTCAGGAAGCATCTTTGTTTATGTGCTATGATAAAAAAAAAAGGGGGGGTTTCCTATAAATTGTTGACTTTTATTTTTTAATGGGCTAAAATAAAAAACATCCCTCTTGTTCCAATTAACTGACACGGTGACAGAAAATTATCAGGAAAAAAGCTGCTCTTAATTCTTTTCTCTCCACTAGTAAACAGTAAGAGTAGAAACTAAACTTTAGATTCACATATCATCTAAGTTGCATCATTTCAATAAATATTTTCCAGGGCCTAACATCCACATAAACACTGTGGATATCATTGTATGCCCAATTTGTAGCATTTAGAATAATGACATTCAAATTACTCAGTTACCAGGTACAGTCATAAGTTATATTGACAGATTTGTTGCAGTGAAACAAGTAATTGTGTTAATTTTAGTCCTAGTAAATGCAATAAAGAATGACAGTGGTCACAATCTGAAAGCCACTTAAGCATGCTGCATCAAAGCAATTATTTATATATATATGGATTCAGACGCATATCTTTCTGCATCATACTAAGACTGAAATCGAAATACTTTGAACAAATAAACAGTTCCAAAATGCAGATAATGTACAGTCTCTCTCTTAGACACACTAACACTTCAACATCTTTCAAGTTTCCTGTTTGGAAAATTTTCTTCAAACCAAAAAACTCTCCCAAATTTGAATTTACAGGCTAGCAGATTCATTACAAGTTGCTTAACATAAGATAATAAGCAAATGAGAAAGCCAGTTAAATCCATCCCAATACTTCATTACAATTTGTGTTCCTTTACTTAAAACATTTAATACCTTTTTAGAAATGAAGTAATACAGAAATGATACAGAAATGCAAAAAAGTGTAGCACAGTACCACTTTGATACAGTTGTCTGTTATTAGGCATATATAAGTGGAAGAAGACAGCTGGTATGTTTGTTAAGAATCAGAGGATTGCTGGACTTTTAAAATACCGCAGTATTGCACTATTGTGATCTTTTCAAAGGGTTGAATTGAAATGAAACAAACCCTAAGCCTTTTCTAGCTTGAAAACACCTTCTAAGAGTTCCTAACTTCCTTCCAGTTCTCAGACTTTCCATTTCTTACCTTATCTGGCAAATCAATATTTATTTATCTTCAATATGTGCACTTTTAAATTGCTGTCATACGACGGAACTCATTTTTGTCCCAAGATCAGCCTGCCATCAGAATTCACTGTTTGCTCCATCTTCCACTCACCTGTCCTTGTGCATTAGTGACGAGTTGACCTGTGACCCCCTGAAGACTGGAGAGGGCATTGCCAAAGGCCTGGGAGCTTGCTATTGAGCCCATAGCTGCTGCTGCTGCAGCGGCTGCTGCTTGACTTGCTAGTGGATTATTAACCAGCTGAAAAAAAAAGAAAAAGATCATGATAAAACCCACAATAAACAAAGAAACAAGGGTGCTAATTGGATAACATAAAAGGGATTGCACAATCACTTTTATGTTGTTTTAATGTTTTTTTCCCACTTAAATGTGCATAAAAACCTATAGTCTCCGAGAGCTTGCGTAGTTCTGAGAGGATCTTATTTCTGGGGCTTTGACAATAAATAGTTTTTATAAAAGCAGAGAAAATTCCATGTTAATGTTGAATAATAAAATTCTCCTTTTGAACCCAGATTCTCTTTTTCTTTTTTTTTTTTAATTAAGTTATTCTTGATGTGTTTCTTTAGGTTCAATGTGCTAATACCGCAAGTGTAGCAGCCTAATATCGATGTAAACAGCAATCAGTGAAAAATTAGCATTGGATTTGAGTGGGAGTGGAATATTTACTTGGGCATATTCAGAACAGAGACTATTTTACTAATAACCCCAGAAACAAGAAAAACCTGCAAATCCTTTTAATTTTTATCATTAAAGAATTGGTCTCAACAGCTAGATACATCACAATAGAAGACTAAACCTTATAATTGAGTTCAGTAGAAATCAACGAAAAATTCAAAATTCATTTGCAAAATACGATACTAAGCAACTTACTGCTTTTCAACTGTGAATGATGAATTTTAGGACCCATAAATTTTCAGGAAATAAGTTGTACTTCCTGCTTTAGTCAATTCTACCTGTGTGCTCCATAGAAAACACAGAGCACAGTCATGGCTTTCACCTTAGGAGACTATTGGAATCCCATAGGAGGGAACACTCCTATCAAGATTTGTGTCTATCAAACATACAAAATATGCGTTCTTCTGTCAGAAACAAAATATCCTCTGGGATATGGCTTTTCTACTGGATTATTGTGAGGTTTCTATTTTCTTATCCTCTTGTGAGAATGGACAAAGTTTGAACCAAGCATAGAGGGGTAACAGTAAAAAAGAATAAAAATGTTAGGAACCATCATCACTAGGACAGCTGTCTTGAGAATAATCAAACTAACTGAGTTCAAGATGCTGAAAATGTATTTTAGAGTGCATTTGCCTCCTAAGAGTCACGGCACTATAGTAGAACTTGCAAAATGCACATCAGCAGGATACAGCAGCCAGAAATTTGAGAGAGAAAACTAGGGACATTTTTTCCTAGAGATGAAAATGCTGGAGCTCACTCAGAAAAGCTTAAGGTTCGAGCTGAAATGAGTAGTAGTTTTAAGCCCTTAGATGATGAGTAAATTATCAATCCTACAGAACCAGAGAGTCACAGACACCAATAAGGGATGTACTTCACAGACAGGCTCTGCTTCAAAATAGGTTATAAAAAATTAATTGTGATTAGTAGATGTTTTAAGCATGTTACAGATATGAGTAGTGTGTATGTTATAGATGTTTAGAAGCTCATCAATAGAATATGTCAGATATGGTTATAATCTATGCTTATAAGAAACCTACTTGTCTGTTGGACATTGCAAGATCTACAATTGATTGGTCATACATTAAAACATCTATTAATCATTCATTAGCCCTTCATAAAGTATTTATAAATGGAACCTTGATATAAAGTGTTGCTTAAAGGGGTGCCTTGAGCACATCCAATCCCTCTAGAAATTGTAAAGTAAATAACTAAATAAAGATTAGTAGCACTGCCAGACAGAAAAGATGACATTATTTGGAGGAAATATTTTGATTTGGAAAAAATTGTTATATGAATCTTTAAAAGCAGTCTGCAGCATCCCATGGCAAGAAAATCAAGCAGGAATAAAACTGAATGGGGGAAAACTGCAATGAGTGCTTGATTAGCAGTCCTGATGAGCTGTGAAGAGAGCAGAGACCAGCACAATGACCAAGGCAAAGCTCAGTCCCTGGATGCAGACATCAAGCAAGTCCACTGACTGCCCAAGGTGTGAGCCCAAACATAGCTGCACCCACTCCTCAGTGATTTGGGTGGTGGTGCCTGAGCACAACAGTGTAATGCCAGATATCAATATAGATAAACTTGCAGGTTTTCTGCTCAAAACAATGACATTTCTTTATTGTCCAGATCAGGAGCTGATAAACTCTAGCTTTTTCCACAGCACTTCATGGGCAGTACTGGGCCTTGAAGTAATTCCCTTATAGCTGTAAATACTTGGAGAAGAAAGGGTCAGCAGCAAAAGTGTAAGACTCAGAAAAGGCATTCTACAATCTTGTTAGTAACCCACAAATTATTGCACCTCTGATCCTACAGTATCTGACTGCAGGTATAAATAATAATCTTTGGACAGTTACCTGACAAACAACACTGGCTGCTATATTCAGGGCTTTAGTGGCATATGGGAACAACCATCCACAGCTGGGAACAACTTGAGGAACATAAATAAGCTTGTGAAGCTGGAAACTACGAAGGGTTAAAACCTTCTAAAAATCAGACTATCATCTTCTAGAATCTCTTTTCCATTTTTCTTGCTCCAGTTCTCAAAAAATGTACATTTTCAAATACAACAATAAAATTAATTTACAACAAACCCTGGAGACACTCGGGATTGCTTTTAGTTGCATCACAGAGATAAGCTACTTATTAAAAATGATGGCAGAGGCTGTGATATGCATAGGTACCCTGCATAGTACCATGTTCCAGGAAAAAGCACAGTGAATGAGCCCACTCACAGGGTAAGAGACTTCCAAATGCATATAAAACCATCCCTATCTATTAATAAGTCTGGTTAATAAATAGAATATGTATTTTTCTTTGACTGCTGTGGGAAGCTGTTGACTGCAAGTTATGCTCTGTTAAACTGACCCCTTTTACATTGTATGAAAACTGGGGATGGAGAAATACATCTCATTTCATTATACTTGGGATGCCAAGATAACACATAGAATCTTCTTTTTGTTTTAAAAATAAAATCTCTGACTTGAGAGGTTTATGCTATTTCTCAGTGCAGGTTGGATCCCTAAGAATTTTATTAGAAATATATTATGAAAAATCCCACAAAGGGCTCTACCCATTTTGTTTCTGTGTTTAAATAATGATTTAGTTTGGAAGGCTGAAACATTTCAAGCTGTCAATTCCATTGCCCAAATTTCTGCTCCCACTCAAAACACCAGCCATAACTGTAGGTAATGGGGATCTTGGTTTAAAGTGGCAGGCCAGCCCTCTTAAGGATGCCTCCACTAATGACATGATTATATGAGGAAGCAAACTTTGTGCAAAAGAATCTTCTAATAACTGAGCAGGTTTAATTCATTTTTCTGAATTCCCAAATGTGCTGGTTTAAAAGTTAACCAGCAAGGCAAAATGAACTCAATTCAAAAGAGAGATTTATAAGTCAGAATAACAATTTATTAAAATAATGCAATAAGTACAAGTATACAGACAGACAATTGGTTTTAACCCACAAAACCCAAATGTACAAACCCAGCACCCTGGGGTATGAACAAAAGTGGTGTACCTTGGCCCACCCCCCGAGTCCAAAGCAAAGGGAGAGGGGATAAAACCTGCTGGTGGGAGAGCTGCTGCAGTCTGGTCAGAAGTGGTGATTGCAGTCCAGTTGAGGGTGGTGGTCTCAGCCTGGTTGGGAGCAGCGGTGGTCTGCTGTCTTCCTCTGGGTCCCACGAGAGAGAGCTCCAAGGCTCTGAAACTCCCAGTTATATACTCTCCAGTTCAGGCGGGAGTGCTCAGTCCCTCCCTCAGAGTAGGGAATTCCATAAAAGGGCATGCGGATGCTCAGTCCCTCTTATCAGAGCGGGGAATTCCATATAAGGATATCAGAGCAGGGAATTCCATAAAAGGGTACAGGAACATCTTCCCACCTTGCAGGCCTCTACTGACAGCAGTTTTTGGGAAATGGCATGGAGGCTATAGAATACACAGTTTTGGGTTACACCCATCCAGGGATGAATTGGTCCCAGCCGTTCTAACCAGGACACCAAAGCTGAACTTTTAAAGGTAAAGCATATGAAAATTGTTCTGCAGTAACTCAATAGAAGCAGAAGACATTCCAGTGCAGGAAATAGAACTCACACAAATAAAACTAACCTGAGAAATGATGGGGGATGAAAGAGGCACTATTTATAAGATCCTAAAACTGTGCCATGTGACGTGAGTGTTTCCATGGTTAAGAGATTGTCTTCAAAAATAATTTCAAGGAAAGTGTGATAGAGTCAATGCTGCAAGCAGCTTTCTTGAGAGCTACAAATACTTTTGCTTTTGGAAGAATACCATCTTCCTCTTTGTCCTGGAAGCTAACTTATTGTTTTATTGAACTTGCTGTGAGAAACTAATCAAGCATTCATGTACTGTTGAATACAAGATCAGATTTGATAACCTACACAGTAATTTTACTTTTCTCTGTAAAGGACATGTCCTACTGAACTTTGTCTCCTCTGGTCTGGAAATCAAAGAGCCAGTTTTACTCATTACAGTAATACTCATTCTACAAATATACAGAAAAAAACAAACAGTTTTACTGATGAAAAGCCAAGACATTTCAGGATGGCAGAGCATCATATGAAAAAATGGGCCTATAACCTAAAAGGTAAAGTCACTTGAGATAATACCAGTATATAGATCTTGTGCATTTTCTAGAGGACTTGTAGAGCAGTGAAGACACGCCATCTGAATGCAGCAATGCAGAATGAAAGGACATATTGCGAAGTAACAGCAAGCATAACTTCATTTTACAAAATAGTATTGGTGTTTTTCAGGGAGAATGTTTAAAAAATCACATTCTGGATATCTTCTAGAGATTAGATTAGTGTAGAGAAGTAGTATATTTGATTAGGGACCAAGAGATCCTCAGTCTCTTATGTTCTCTGACTATGCTTTCTGTAGGGAGCATCACACTACTAGGTAAGCTACTAAGATTGTTTGCTTAAACCAACGCTTTTCAAGGGAAAACAGAAATATCTCTAAAAGTTGAGAACAATTCAGCAATGGCTCCCAGCAGAAACACGACATTTTTCTTTTCTATCCCTAATAAGTGAAAATTGATTATAGAA